AGGTCCGCTACCCTGTCCTGCAGCTCGGCCCCCTCCGTAGTAAGACAGGGCCAGGGGCTGGTGGTGAAGACCCTCCTCACCATGGCTTCTGCTCGCCCTCTGTCCCCTCCCACTCCCCTGTCCAGCCCCGATCGCTGTGCCTTTGCCCACCCCAGGACTCCTGCCCGAACTTCCCTTGCCCTCTCTGACACCTCCCATCCTTCAAGGCCCTGCTCAAATGCCACTGCCTCCAGGAAGCTTTCCCTGACTGCCAAGCACAGTTAATGTTCTTACTTATACCCTCTGCCACCCAGCGCCACTCCCATTCCACACGCTCAGTTGGCTTTGTCCGATGTGTTTCTCATGTTAGACTGGGGCTATGGGTTTGGGGGAGGAGGACCATGAGATCAAAGCACATTCCTGCTCACATCACAGCAAGGACACCTGCTGTCAACAGGCCTCGTCACTGGTGCTATTGACCCCGGTCACCTGACTGATGGGTGTTGGTTGGGTTTCCCCATTTCCACACTGTCCTCTGTGGAAGAAAGCCACAATGTGCAGCCTATGCCAAAGGAGGGGGCTTCATGCTCTGCCCCAGCCTAAGGTGGTTGGAATTCTTCTACCTGGGGGTCTGTCTCTTCTCCCCATTTACCCAGCTTATCCCACCACTTATCTGTGCCCATGGGGCCTTCTGCACATTTGTTTTCTATCTGGGGTTGACATTACTCCCACTTTACCTGTGTTTTCTTCCTCACATTGTCCCAGCTTTGGCCACTGGGAGCTCTTTCAGTTGACGCCCGTGTCCCTTCGTCAGGGTTCCATCATTTTGGGGATCTACTGTTCGTGTAACTATGGATTGCACTTCTGTAATTCCTGGTGCTACGAGACACTCCAGGCCCAATGTGTTTATTTCCTGCCAGGGAATGTATTTCACGAATATTTCACGTGTGGAAATACTCTGCAGAGTGCCTCCTCCAGGCAGCCTCCCCAGCTGTCTACAGGCAGGACTGGGGGTGTGCAGTGCTCCCCGCTGCCGGCCCCTCTGCAACGGCTGCTCTGGCCCAGCTGTCCCATCTGGGTCCTGGACTGTCTCCACCATGAGGCTGAGGCTGGGGTCTCTAGAGGGTGGCAGGCACCTGACTCATTCATGCTGGGTGCTGAGTGCGGGGCAGGGCCAGGTCGGGTGGGCAGGTTGGACCTGGGCGATGCCCCCTGCGGATCCTGTCCTGCTGAATAGTAAGGACTACGACTGCTCGCCTTTGTGGAGCCCTGCTCTGTGCTGTCAGGTGCTGGGCCTGGGCAGCGCCCGTATAGCAGCTCCCGCAGGGGCTTCGAACCCAGGCTTCAGAATCTGCTGTCCGTCATTGGGTTGCAGCCCAGACATGTTCTGTGCTTGCCAGTGGGGGAGTCTCTCCGTACCCACTGTGTGGTACCTGGACCACTGCGCCACCCTTGGTGAACAGGGAAGGGCTCTGCCAGGGTAGAGGAGGTGAAGCGTGTGTCCATCCTGCAGCAAGTGAGGGGAGACCCCGGGACCCACACCTGGCTGGGCACCAAAGTGGTGGGCCATGCCCCTGTGATGCTGCCTGGGAGACACCCCAGCTGGTCAGCAGCCACGTGAGGCAGCAGCTGTGGACATTGGCCCAACAAGGGGCTGCTGCCTGGAACCTGCACTGGGCACCTGTCATGAGGCACCCCTCCCTGTCTCTCCAGTGTCCCGGGGGAGGTGCAGCCAGGGTGTGACCAGATCCTGCCGGGTGCTGCTCACTGGGGACATGTGGCTCGCCACATGAGGTAGGAGAGCTCGAGCCCCACCTGGGGCAAGCCCATGCCCGCTCCAACCCGGTGGTTCCCTCCCACCAGCTGCCCACACAGCTTTGCCACAGCAGAAGTGCACCTGACTGGGCTCTGTCCCCTCCAGCACGTCTGGCAGAGGTGAACCATCTCAGAATTCATGGGGCTGTTGGCTCCCACCTGGCTTGAACAGCCCAGCCCCCTGTCACTAGCACTTGGTTTGTTAGTCATTCAGCAAACGCTTGCAGAGTGTGGAGAGGTGCTGGGCATGAGGGCCACAGAGAGCAAGGCCGGCCAGTGCCCTCCCTGGAGGAGCCGACAGTGGCAGTGCTGGATGATGGCCCCGGTCCCAGGACGGGTGGAGTGTGCTCAGGCTCTCCGGGGCCCAGGGCAAGGACTGGCCGGGCTGGTGGCCAGGGTAGGCGTCTCTGAGGAGGCAAAGCACCGAGGTCACAGCTGGGGGAGAAGGGGCGGCAGGAAGCACTGGGGTGCAGATTCCGGGCAGGCGGTGGGGGTGTGGGACAGCACAGGGTGGTCAGAGCCCGATGTGGGGTGGGGTGGGGGAGGGGAGGGCAGAGTGAGGCTGGCAAGGGTGGCTTGGATATAGACAGGTGGGGAAAGAGAGGGGTCATGTGCCAAATGCCTTGTGGTGCCGTCTACTAAGACGCAGGGCAGGGGAGGGGCAGTACGTGTCCAGTTCGGACAGGTGGTGTCTGGACTGGCTACCGGCCATCAGAGAGGCAGACGGTGGCGCTGGCAAGGGCCTTCAGTCTGAGCTGGAGCCTGGGGACCTCAGCAAAGGCAGATGACTCTGAAGTCCCCACTGGCATGAGCTCCCCACACAGAGTGTGGCCCTTGAAGAAGGCGTGACTGTGAGGGAGGAGGAGGCTGGGAGGCGGGAGAAGGTGCCCAAAGGGTGAGGTTCTCGGGCGGACCAGTGGCCCTGAGAGGCAAGGAAGAGGCAGCCGGGAAGGGACTGCTGGGCTTGGCCACGTGGAAAGCCTGGTGACCTGCGCATGGGTGGTTTTGGGGAGCATGGGGGCACATCGATTCGAGGCCAGGAAGTGGGGCGTGGAAAACAGCACTTGAGGTTTTTGGGGAGGTGGCCAGGCAGTGTAATGGGGCTGTCCCAGCCTGGCTGCAGGTGCCTGCAATTGCCAGCCTACCCTCCTCACCTCCCCACCCTCCTCCCTGTGACATCTGGCCCAGTCCAGGTGAGCCGAAGGGGGCCTGCAGGAATCCCCCTCGGGGCCCTCCTCCCCTCCACCTGCAGTGATGGCAGCCTTGGAGCCTGGAGCTTCCCGGAGATGGGTCCCAGCTGGGAGGATTCACTCCTTAGGAGGAGCTGGGGGAGTGTGTGCCCCGGCTGCCTTAATGTTTGTGTAAGCCAAGGTCAGGATCAACCCCTGACCTTCAGGCTCTGCAGAATGCTGGGAATTTCAGCTGGGCCCCACCCCTGAGTTGGGAAAATTGGGGCTCTGAGGAGTTCGGGCCTATGGGGTCAGGGTCCTGGGGACTCATCTGTAAGCTGGGATCTGTGTCCCCAGACTCCTGGGAGAATGCCCTCCTCACGGCCCCTGCCACGTGCCCTCTCCTGGGGCCTTCTCGTCTGTGCACCCTCGCTGGGTCATCCACACCGCGCCAGCCAGCTGGTCCACCAGTGTGTTTCTGAGACTCGGTCTCTTCTGGCTCTGGGATGTTTTTTGGAGACAGAACCTGGCTCTGTCGCCCTGGCTGAAGTGCCGTGGTGCGGTTGCTGCTCACTTCAGCCTCCATCTCCTGGGCTTAAGCAATGCTCCCACCTCAGCCTCCCGAGCAGCTGGGGCTATGGGCATGTACAGCCATGCCCAGCTAATTTTTTGTATTTTTTGTAGAGACAGGGTTTTGCCATGTTGCCCAGGCTCGTGTCCAACTCCTGGACTCAGGCGATCCTCCTGCCTCAGTCTCCTAAAGTGCTCAGATTGCAGGGTGAGCCACTGCCCAGCCCTGGCTCTGTGCTCCTCGCCTCCCCACACCTCTGTTCCTCATGGTGTTAAAGGCAGAGATGCTGGCAGGAGCTGAGGGGCTGCCATGGGGGCCTGAGGGAGGTAGGGAGCGCGCTCTGGTCAGCTTCCTCCAAGAAAGGAAGGTCCCTCTTCCGAAAGCTCCGCTGGGGAAGCAGCTTGCCTCCCTCACCACCCCCAGGTGAGGAGCGCTGTGCTGAGGGGTCTCGGGCACCTGGTCAGAAGGCCAGGCTGGCCCAGGGAGGAGGAAGGACTGTGGACCTGCTGGGCCGCAGCGTCAGCAATTCCCTGGGCTCCAGGGTGACGCCGGCCGAACAGAGCAGGACATTCCGGCCAGTTGGGGGTGGGTGTCTTCAGTTTCAGCCCAGGCAGGAGAACTGCTGACCACTTCCTGCAGGCGCCGACCCGGTGGCCCTACCACCCATCCGGCCGGGGTGGCCATCAGTCATCTGGAAAGCCAAGGAGCCCTGTGTCCCTGTTTTGCAAAGAGCAGTTCCTGAAATCACAGGGCCTGGAGCTCTGCTCATCTGATCAGGGATCGGTTTCAGCAGCAAAGGCCAGAAATAACACATGGTCTGAGCACGGCTGAGTGCGGCACCATCCTAGCCCTTTCTGGGGGATGACTCATGACGCTGCCATCCAGTGCCCGCTGCGATGGGGCTCCGGGCTAGCAGCCTAGCACACCGGCCCGGATATGCCTGTCCTCCAACTTGGGTTCATGGAGGAACCAACTCGGGAAGGAATCTCAGGAGAGATTTGTGCCGGTCCTTCCCTCTGGTCCTCGGGTCTGAGTCGGGCTTGGGAAGGCCTTGGGAGGTGTGCGGGCATCTTAGCTTGCTTGTGTTTCTGCAGAACACAGGAGAGACATCGTTTTACACGGGAGGAATCAGAGGCCGGGAAAGATGACGGGGCTGCTCAGTGTGAAGCTGGGCTCTCCAGGGGCAGGAGATGTCACCCACCTTCCTTCCTTCCTTCCTTCCTTCCTTCCTTCCTTCCTTCCTTCCTTCCTTCCTTCCTTTTCATTCTTTCCCTCTTTCTTTCTTTCTTCCTTCCTTCCTTCCTTCCTTCCTTCCTTCCTTCCTTCCTTCCTTCCTT